GGGGTCGAGGGGTCACGGGAGGGTTTTGGGGTGTAAAGAGGGGATTTGGGGTCCCCCCCCAGCCCCCCCCCAAACCCGCGGGGGATGCCGGGAACGGCCCCTCCCCCTCCCCAGCGGTCCCTGCGGCGCTGGGGGCGGGGCGGGCTGGGTTGTACTGGGCTGTACTGGGCTGTACTGGGACGTTCTGGGCTGTGCTGGGGTATTCTGGGGTGATATTGGGCTACAGTGGGGTTATTCTGGGGTGATATTAGGGTGATACTGGGCTGTACTGGGATATTCCGGGGTGATACTGGGCTGTACTGGGGTTATTCCGGGGTGATACTGGGCTGTGCTGGGGTTATTCTGGAGTGATACTGGGCTGTGCTGGGGTTATTCTGGAGTGATACTGGACTGTGCTGGGGTTATTCTGGGGTGATACTGGACTGTGCTGGGGTTATTCTGGGGTGTCCCGCGGTTGTACTGGGGTGCAATGGGTTATACTGGGCTGTACTGAGCCCTGCCCGGCCGTACTGGGTTGTACTGGGTCATACTGGGGTCATTCCGGCGGCTCGGGGCGTGGATCGGCGCCGTCATGGAGCGGTTCGTGGCGGGGAACCGGGCGGCTCTGCAGGTACGGGGGGCAGCGGGGGGCAATGGGATGGTCTGGGGTGTTGGGGGCAGGTGGGGATTGGGGTGCGCGAGCCCCCTGAATTGCAGGAATTGGGGTGCGGGGGGTGCAGGTGGGCTCGGGGACAGGTGAGAATTGGGGTGTACGGGAGCACCCCCATCTGAACTGCGAGAATTGGGGTGCGGGGGGCAGTGGGGTGGTCTGGGGTATTTGGGGCAGGTGGGGTTTGGGGTGTTCGGGAGCACCCCCATCTAAACTGCGAGAATTGGGGTGCCCAGGAAGCAGCGAGCAGGGAAATCGGGGTGCAGGGGGAGATGAGCCCCCCCATGGGCTGGGGTTCAGCAGGAGCAGGGGGGTCTGGGTGGGCCAGTAGCCCCAAGTGTAGTGCCCTGTCTGAGGTCACAGCCACACACCAGGGACACCCCAAAATGTTTCCCAGCCCCATCCGGCCCGGGATGCCTCTGGACCTGCCCTGGAGTTTGGGCTGCAGCTGCTGCTGGGTTTTTTTTTTTCCTCAGCTTCTACCAGAAATCAGCGAATCTGGGTTATGGCAGCAGAGAATTGTCCCAAAAATCAGGGCCTGGGGATGGGGCGGCTCCTGCGGGTGTGACAGGGAGAGTGACATGTTTTTCCTGCCTCTGCAGGCAAGCAAAAGAGGGTCAAACATCAAGTTTTGGGGTGACAACCATCCCCAAATGGGGGAATAAGTTTCTAGAACAAATGGGTTAAAGCACTCAGTGCTCCCTGGCAGAGTCCCTGTCCTCATGGTGGCCGGGGGACTGATGTGATTTTTTTCCTGGAGCCCTGACACACCTCACTTCACACACGTTCCCCAAACCAGGTTTTAGTTTCGGGTTTGGTTTTAGTTCGAGGTTTTAGGGCCAGATGTGGATCCCAGGGATGCCAGGAGCTGTCGGGAGGGTGGAATCCGTGGGTGACATCTGTGATGAGTGGGACAGTGACGGAGGGCAGGGCAGGGGAGCAGTTTGGGGGTTCTGGGAGGACGAGGCCGTGTCGCTGCTGTCTCTGATGCCTCCCGTCCCTACAGGATCACATCCGGCAGCACCAGGAGATCCACGTGGTGATGGGCAACGAGGCTTGTGACCTGGACTCCACCGTCTCAGCACTGGCCCTGGCTTATTTCCTGGCCCAGGTGAGGCTCGGCCACTTGCCCCGGGGGCCGGAGGTGGCCCGAGGGGGTCGCCTCACGGGTGTCACCCCCGCTCCCCCGGGCTGCAGAGCTCGCCGGCTCCCAGAGCCGCCTTCGTGCCGGTGCTGAACATCCCCCGCGCCGACTTCGCGCTGCGGACCGAGACGTCGTTCCTGCTGCGGGATCGGGGAATCCCGGCCGCCTCCCTCATCTTTCGGGATGAGATCGACCTGCGGGGGCTGCACCACGCTGGGCTGCTCTCCCTGACGCTGGTCGATCACCACGTGCTGCCCTGGTGAGCCGGAGGGGGTGGCACGTTGGGGACAGCCAGGGCCACCCAGCCAGAGCCTCGGTTGATTTTTGCCGCCCAGGGTGGGTGAAATGGATCCATGTGCGGGGTGTTTTTAAGGGAGAGAAGGAATGCAGGGGTTTCCCAGGCTCTGCCAGGAGTAACCCTTCCCGTTGCCCACCAGTGCCGACGCTGCCCTGGAAGAGGCCGTGGTGGAGGTCCTGGACCACCGGCCACTGGAACGGGCCCGTGGTCCCCCGTGCCAGGTGACCGTGGAGCCGGTGGGCTCCTGTGCCACCCTGGTGACCGAGCGGATCCTGCAGGGCCCCCCGGGCGTGCTGGACAGAACCACGGCAGCGCTGCTGCACGGTGAGCACGGGGTGGGGGGTCCTGGCTGCCCCGGGGGACGGTGACAACAGTGACAACGGTGACAACAACACGGCCCCATGGTCCCCGCAGGCACCATCCTGCTGGACTGCATCAACCTGAGCCCGGCCGCGGGCAAGGTGACCCCCAGGGACGTGGCCTGCGTGTCCCTGCTCGAGGAGAGGTTCCCGGAGCTGCCGGCCCGTGACGCCGTGTTCGGAGCCCTGCAGGCGGCCAAGTTTGATGTCACAGGTGTGTGCGCCGGGGCAGCGGCACCCAGGTGTGTCCCCCCTCTCCTTGGGGACAGGAAGGTGCCCTGAGCCTCATCCCCCGGCCACCTCGCAGGGCTGACGACAGAGCAGATGCTGCGGAAGGACCTCAAAGTCATCTCCAATGACGAGGTGGTCGTTGCCATCAGTGGCGTCTTCGAGGACCTGGAAGTGAGACTTGGGGGTGAGGGGGAAACTGAGGCAGGGAGTGGCACGCTGGGGACATCACGGTGATGCCGAGAGCTCTCCCCTCTGCCCAGACGTTCCTGCTCCGGCCTGGCTTGCTGCAGGACCTGGAGGCTTTCTGCCAGGGCCGTGGCTACGCGGGGCTGGTGGCCATGACCGTGTACTTTAACGAGCGCCACGAGCCCACGAGGAAACTCGCGGTTTACAGCCAGCAGGAGCCACTCCGTGGCACGGTGAGTCAGGGTCGGGCACCTCCGGGCACTTTCCCAGTGTGATTTTCCCCAAAACCTCCTGTTTTTGGGTGTGCTGGGGAGGTCCCAACCCTGCTGTTCTCCCGCAGCTGTGCCGGGCACTGGAGGAGGCGACGACGCCGTCGCTGCTCCTGCAGCTGCTGCCGAGCCCCTGGGCCAGCGTGGCCGCCTATGCCCAGGGCAACGCCGTGGCCACTCGCAAGAAGGTGCTGCCCATCCTGCGGGCAGCGCTGGGGGGCCTGGGGGCTGCGGGGGGCCCCGAGGAAGAGGTGGTGCCCCCGCCCACCCCCATGAACAGCCTGGTGGAGGAGTGTCCCCTGGCACAGGCTGTGCCCCCGCTGTGTCCCCAGGATGTCCTGGAGCGGGTCAGCCGCATCGCCGTGGGGCAGCCCCCCGGCTCCCCGAAATAGCAGCGAGTGCCCCCGTGGCTTTTTGAGGTCTGGATGAGAAGTTGGGGTCCCTGAGCAGGCCCCGGTGGGGTGCCTGGGTCTGGGGGGCGTTGCAGCCACCTTTGTTAGAGCTCAAGCTCCTGGTTCTCCTCGTGGTTTGTCCCCCCCCCAATGGCTCCCTCTGCCCCAGAGGCCCCCAGGTGGGTTTTTGGGGATGCCATGGGCAGTAGCTGCACTCCGTTAATGAAGGCGTTGGGGTGGGGGAGTTAACGAGTTCTTGATGATTTTCCTTCCTTGGGGGCGGTGGGGGGCCCCAGAGGGTGGGTCTGGACATGCAACCGTCCAGGATTGTCGCTGTTTTTCCAAGGATTAAATTTCCCTTTTCTTCCAGTTTTGGCTCTTGGCTTTTATTCTGGGATGGGTCTGGTGCTGCCCTACTCGAGGTGGGGGTTCAATCCCCTCTACAGTGGGTGAGAGGAACATTTTGGGGTGTCCAAGGAGGGGGGTGTCAGTGCAGCCACGCTCCCGAGTCCAGCCCAGCCGGGAGGAGACTGCTTGTGCCATAAAAAGTTGTGGCCTGCTGTGAGTTATCAGTGGGCTCAGGTTTTCCCAGTGGATTTGGCTGCTCCAGGAGCAGAGGAGGGAGCGAGGAGCTTGAGGCAGGTTGTGCACCCACCCCTTGGGCCAGCACAAGGCATTTATTTCAAGGGTGGAATGTTTTTCCCAAAAACCCTGACCCGAGCACGACACGGGGCTGGAAAAGCCCAGCTCCCACCGGAGCATCCCTGGAGCACAGGGGAGAGGCTCTGTCACCCAGCACGTGCTATTTAATATTTAATCCTGGCGCTAATTAAACTATGTACACCCGCGCCTGAATTCCGGAGCCCTTCTGGGGTCAGGCCCTGTCTGGGGCCGGGGACGATCCCGGGTGGAGGGGACCCCACCACGGTCCTGCCCGAGGCTGCTCAGGTGGGTTTTGGAGCTTAAAAATAGGAAGATATCCTAAAAAAGAGGAGGGAGGTGGGAGTTTGGCGGCGGTGGGAATGCCAGCTGGAGGCACTGTGGGCTCGGTGGCGCCGAGACACCCGAGCACTGGGGTTTGATCCTGGTTTGGCACCGAAGCATCGGGGTTCAATCCCCGTTTTGCTCCAAAGAATTAGGGTTTAATCCCACTTTGACATCGAATCCTGGTTTGACACCAGAACATCTTGGGTTTAATTCTGGTTTGGCACCAGAATTATCAGGGTTTAATCCTGGTTTTGTTCCTCTGTGATGTTCTGGGAGGCACCAAATCTGCCTCTGCACCATGACTGATTCCCTGGGGAAACTGAGGCACCACCATGCAGCCCATGGGAGACACGGGAGTGGAAAAAGGGAGATCTGGGAGGATTTGGCACACGTGGGCTGCTCCTGGCAGCTCCTGGCACGTTTCAGGGGGATGGCTGCGTCCTTTGCAGGCAGGGCAGGGGATGGGGGCTGCTGTCCCCGCTCCCTCCCCATGTCACCGGCCAGTGCCTCCGGGAAGGAGGGATTTTCCAGAGGGACAATGACCCAAAGTCACCGGGAGCTGGGTGAGGATGGTGCTGCATAAATACCGCGGGGTTCAAGCTCGAGGTCAGCTTCTCCTCCAGCGGGGGGGGGGGGGGATCAGGCAGTTCAAGTTTGGGCTGAAAAAGCCAGGAATCTGCAAAATCCAAGAGGAGGGGTTATGGTAGTGCCCAAGTGGTGGCTCAGAGGGAGTTCCCCAGAGGTGGTGGCTCTGAGGGGGTGCTGGGGGGGCCATGGGTTGCTACTCACATGCTACAACACACGGGAGTTGCTCCACTGTCGCTCCCGGCCGCCCTTGGACCTCATCTCCTGGACAGCACCAGTCTGCAGAGAGCACCTGTCACCCACCTGTGCCACCCCCTCGGCCAGCCAGGAGACCCCCCTGGCTCCCCAAAAACAACACCCAGCACCCCAAAACAACACCCACCACCCAACCCTGAGACCCAGCATCCCTAAACCCAATACCCATCGCCCAACTGTGAGACTCTACCACGCCAAAAACCAACACCTACCACCCCAAAAACACCACCTGCCACCCAACCCTGAGACCCAACACCCCAACCCCGAGCCCCCCAGCCCCCCCAGAGCGTGGGGGTACCATGGGCAGCCCCTCTCCTGCAGCCATGTCTCCGGAGCCGATGTGTGTCAGGTGGACGAAGTTCATGGGCTCCCCGATCATGGAGCGGTCGATCCGTCTCCTCCTCTTCTTCTGCAAGGGGATGAAGGCCATGAGCCCCCCGCTGACCCCACGGCCCTCCCCGAAATGGCTGCACTGGAGGTACTCACGGGCTGGGGCTTCTCCACGACGCAGCAGCCCAGCTTGTGCCAGAAGTCGCTCATGCTGGCGGTGGTGGCAGCAGCCACTGTCCCCCCGTGCTGGCACAGCTGCCGGGACCCTGTGCAGGGTCACTCCATGGGGACACCTGGGCGGGGTGGCACAGTGTGGACAGGAGCAGCTGGCTGTGAGGGGGAAAGGAAGGTGATGCTTCCAGGCCTGAGCTCCCCAAATCAATGCTAAGGCAACTTCACATCAACCAGCAAAAGCCAGACATGCCCAGCAGACCCCTGAGGTCACACACAGAGCACCCAAGGGGACACCTGTCACTGCAAGGAGATCCCCAGGGATCAGACAGAGAAGCACCAGGGACTCTGGACATCACAGAGACCCCAGAGTTGTCCCCATGGCCAGGACTGGATCGGGCCCCCCCACCCCAGGGCAGGACACAGCTGAAGGATGCTGCGGCAGGATGGGGGGGATGGAGGCAGCTATGGCAAATCCCAACTCCCTGAGCCAGGCAGCTAAAAATATCCTGGCCCTTCCGAAAAGGGGCCGGAGGTTGAGCTCTTCCGCTCCAGCTTTTGAAGAGCAGACGGGGGAGAAATAAACAGGGACTGGTGGGATTTTGTCCCAAACTCCCACGGTACTGCCTGGGGTAGGCAAGGGGGTGTAGAAAGGGGGGTTCACCCCCAAAATGGGGCTTCCCCTCATGGCAAGGAGAGATAACTCCTTTGCCGCAAAAGCTCCGGGTGTCACGGAGGGAACTCACCCGCCCACGAGGGGCCGTGGGCTGAGCACAGCCCTGTGTCAGCCACGGGAGAGCCCCCACGCCGGTGGCATGGCCCAGCCGAGCCCCGGCACGGCCGCTGGGTGCCGGACCCACCGTTCCCGGCAAGCAGGAAAAGTTCCTTCCTCTGCCCCTGCTGCGGTGACGCCGGATGGGCCAAAGTCCGGCCCGCGCTTCCTGCTCCCGGCGGGGAGGAGAGGGGCAGCCCCCCAGAACGGGGGATCCGAGCCCAGCCTCGGCACGGCCCCATCCACAGCCCAGCCAGGGTCTCCGGCCAGGGTCCGCCCCCAAGGACCCCATGGAATGACCCCACACCCGGGCATTGCCGTGGCACCGGGAATGGTGGGTGCCCACAGTGCCAGCCTGGCACAACCAGGGGAGCCCCCGCGCCCCCCGTCCCCCAGGAATTCATCCATCCCTTCCTGCAGCTGAGAACGGGCAGGTGCTGACACGTCCCGGTTGGCGCACACCTGGCCCGTGCCCCGGCACCCCCTGCCGAACCCGGCCTCTCCCACCGGGCTGCGGGACACACGAGGAGGGGGGCTGCCTTTCCTTCCCAGCCGGAATTCCTTAGGAAACACGGCTGGTTTCCTTAGGAAACGCGGTTAGGAAACGCGGGGATCCCAGCCCAGCGGCAGGGCCTTGCTGGGGAGGAACCCCCCCAAACTCGGCACTGAAACACTCCCGGGGCGCTGCAGGAGCCTCCGTGGGAGCCCCGGGAGCCACCAGGGACTCCCCGCGGGAACCTCCGGGGGTTCGCCCGGCCGCGACCCCTCCGGCCCCCAAATCCCCTCCGGCACCCGCCAGGGCCTCACGTCCTCGCAGAGGGCGACGGCGGGGCCGGCTCCGGCTGCTGCCCCGGTTCCGGGCGGTTCTTGTCGAGTCCCGCGGTCTGGGGGGGGGTCTCACGGCCCCCGCAGCCCTCCCAGCCCACCCCTGCCATGAGCTGTGTCCGGGCTCAGCCCACCTGGTGGCCCCGGGCAGGGCGGCTTCGGGCCCGGCCCGTGCCGGCACAGGCAAAATGACTTCCCGGTTGGGAAAGCACCGCTGGGCTCTGCGTCACCGGCGGGCTCCGGGCAGGGGGGGTCCGCTCCGAGCCCCCCGGCACTGCGGGTCACCCACCGCCAGGACACCCGCTGGGCTGTCCCGAAGCTCGGAGACTGTGGGGACACGGGTGCACGGGGTGGGATTGCTGGGGTGGCCCGGCTGCGGGCCCGGGACCCCGGGATGAAGGGGTGAACTTCCTTTGGTGGGACGGTCCCGGCTGCGACCCCCCGGGCAGCGGCTGCCGACACGGCGGGGACCCGCGGGGCTCCGTGGAGTTGGGGGTGCCAGCAGGGTTCGGGACCCCGGGGGTCCTGGCAGGCCCAGGGAGGTCCCGGTATGTTCGATGGGACCCGGCAGGCCTTGGGATCCCGGTGGTCCCGGTGGGGCTGGGGAGATCCCGGGAGGACTCCCCGGTTGCAGCAGCGAGCTGCAAGGGGGCTCGTCCCGCCGCCCCGCTGCCGTTCCGGGGCCGATCCCGGTGCCCTCTCCGCCTTCCTACGGCGGTTCCGGGGGCCCTTCCGCGGAGTCGCACCCCGCGGAGGGCGCCGGTTCCCGTCCCGGTGGCGGCCCCATTACCTGTCCCTGCGCGGGAGCTGGTCCCGGTACCGGTGTCCGGTTCGCAGCCTCAGGCGTGGTTCGGAAGTCCAGGTCCCGGTCCCGGTGCCGGTGTCTGGCTCGCAGCGGCCCCAAGCGTGGCCCTAAGTGCAGGTCCCGACCCCTGTGCGAGTCCCGGTCCGGGTCCCGGTGCTGGTCCCGCCGCCCCGCTCGCAGCTCAAGGCGTGCCTGGGGGGTTCTGGTCCCGGTGCGGGTTCCGGTGGCGGTACCCCGCTCTCAGCGCGGGCGTGGCCGGGAGGCGCCGGCGGCGGTGCGGGTGGCGGTGCCGGTGCCGGTGCCCCGCTCGCAGCCCCAGGCGTGGCCCGGTGCGGACGCGGCGCAGCTCCCGCCGCCCGGCGCGGCTCGGCCCGGCCCGGCCCGGCACAGCGCCCTCCGCGGGCCCCGCCGGCACTGCAGGCTCCGGGGCCCGGGAGGAATGGGGGGGGCTCGGGAGGAATGGGGGTGGTCCCGTTAGGAATGAGGGGCTCGCGTCCCGGGAGGAATGGGTGGACCCAGGGTCCCAGAAGGTTCTTGAGGTCCTGTAAAGGCTGGGGGTCCCCAGCTGGGAGTGGAGGGGTTGAGGTTTCCAGGAGCGCTGGGGGAATCCCAGGGGACCAGGGAGGGCTGGGGGTCCCCAGCAAGTCCCGGTCATGGTCCCATTTGCCCCCGAGCCTTGTGCCCGCTTTTTCCATGGATTCACCAGAGCCCGAGGGGCACCCAAAGGCGTGGGAACCCCCGGACCGCCCTGCAGCCGGTGCTGAGTGGTTTCACCATTTCCAGCTCCGTGCCCTTCCGCTTGCACAACATCTGGTGGGCTGGTGCCACCACCACGGTCCTGTCATTGCCACTGCCACCATCCTGCCGCCACCGCCACGGTCCTGCCACAGCTGCTGGCACCATCCCGCAGCTCCAGCCACTGGCCAAACTGGACTGTGACTTTCTGGGGTGTCCCCTCCTGTAGGACACCCTGTATGAGCCCCAGAGTGTCCCTTCCTGCATCAGCCCCCAAATCCCAACCATCCCCACTGCTCCCACTCCAGAAATCCTGAACAAGGCAGCACTGTCCCCACTCAGTCGGGTCTGTATCCCACGCCTGTCCCCAGCCATCGGGTGGCCCTGGCTGATAATACCCAAGTGTTTGTGACCTCAGCTGAAGAGCGTTGGGGTTTTTTTTGTTTTGTTTTTTGGGTTTTTTTTGGTGTTTGTGCTGCCAGAGGACGTTGTCCCCCTTGCAGCCCTCCCGAAACTGTAGAGCCCAGAGCAGTGCCCTCATTGCCACATCTCCTTGGGGGTTCACAGAGAGGGACATCACAGTCTTTGCACTGTCACGCACGAGCAAGTGACCCCCAAGAGCAAGGTGACAGGTGACATCCAGCCTCTTAGGGAGCCAAACTGCACCCCACGGCCTGGGGGACCCCCAGAAACACAGCAGCTCAGCCCCTAGGAGGGATCAGCATCCTCCAAAGGGCTCCCAGCTGGAATTTTCCCTGAGGGGCTGAGCTGAGACCAAGGGTCTATTTTGGAGCAGGAACATGGGATCTTCTTTGCCCATGACAGCAGCGGGAGGAGGAGGAGGAGGAGAAGGAGGAGAAGGAGGAGGAGGAAGAGGATGAGGAGGCAGAAATAATCTGGATGAAAGCCGAGCACTGGCAGAACTGCTTGGCACCATCAGAAATGAGCTGCACGCAGGGAACAGGGAGGAAAAGGGAGGAAAAAAAAACAAAACCCTAAAGCACCAAAAGAATGTTGATCTCAGGCAAAGCCCAGGGAGAGGAGGGCAAGGGCTGCCCTCAGCCTCTCAGGTGTGTGAATTTGGCCCATGCCACCCAAAAATGCTGTTTGGGGTCTCAGTGGTGCTGGGGCAGGGAGATCCCCTGGTCTGAGGGGTTTTCTTTGCTGCCCCCCAACACCCAGCTGTGGGTGAAGGTGGGGTGTGAGCTGCCCTCACCCTGGCTGAAGCCCCCTCAGCCCTGGCAGTGATGCCAGTTTTGGGTGTCTCCTATTTCTAAAAGCTGGGATATTTTTGCCGTGCGACCTTAGGACCAAAGACCCTTAGCTTCAGATTAAAAAAAAAAAAAACAACAACACATTTTTTTGGTTTTTTAAAGCCAAATTTCCCTGTGTTTGACCTGCACAGTGCTCTCCCAAGGTTTAGGGGTACCACAGCACCCCATATCATCACATGCAGATAAAATAACTATTTCCCAGCTCCTTGCAGACTGAAAATACCCCGTTATTCGCCCCAACACGGAGCTGAAGGCTTCGGGAGTGACCGGGGAAATTGCTGGAGGTTTAATTTATCCTCATCTTGAGGGTCCAGCGCGCAGGATCCCCCCACCCCCCTCCCCGCGCCTCCGCCCCTGCCCTCCTCCCCCTCCCTGGCGCGGGTGGGAGCCGCTGACTCATCTGCCACCACCACCACCACCACCATCATCATCATCATCATCATCCTCCCCCCACGAGGAAGGGCAGCTCGAGGGGCTGCATTGCAGACCCAGCCGAGGCAGCAGACAAAAGCGACGCTGCAGCTCCCGCGGCTCCCGGCACAAAGCGCCGAGCTCCTCACTCCCCTCCGCAGGTAAGGGATGCGAGCCGCCAGGATGCTCTGCCGGAGGATGCTCGTTATTCGGGAGAGGATTTGGGTGGAAGGAGGGTGTTGGGAGTTTCTTTTTCAAGGGGGGGATTATGTGGATAAAGGTGGTTTTGCTTCCATGGGATGAGCAGACCACGCTGATCCCGTGGGAAATGCTCTTTTTTTAAGGAGTGACACGCGACACAAGAGGGGTTTTCCCCCACGTTCATTCCCTTTTACTGGATATTTGATTATTTTACTTGTCACTAAACTCTCTTTCCCCCTCTCTTGTCACTAAACTCCCATTTTTCACCCTTTGAAGCTTAAAAATCCCTGTCCGCAGCACCCATCACCATTAATAATTCTCTGCTGTGGTGCTGCAAAAAACTCACAGATAAATCCTTAGAGATGGACCCCCAGGGATAAATTCCCGGGAAAGACACTATTTTAAAGTCCTGTGGCTCGGTTTACCGGGAGGAGGTGACACAGGAGCCTTTCATAGCCTCTGAGTGACATCCAGAACCTTAAATTTAGCAGCTGATCAACCCTCACGGCACAGACATAGGGCACGATCCAAAGAATGCCTGAATCATCCTGGGGAATTCTGATTTCCGAGGTTTTAAGACGGGGAATCAGCAGGAAAATGAGGATGTTTTGGGTTAGTGTGCTTTTTCCCCACCTCCGATGCCAGTCGAGGAGGTGAATGACATAACCCTGCCGGGCAGTGACTCAGCTCCTGCCGCGGGAGAAGCTGATCCACGTCTTGTCCTGCTCTCTGCCCGTTTTTGGTGGCCCGGGGTGGGGCTGCAGAGGGAATTCTGCAGCAGGGATGGGTGGGGTGTGGTGGGAATGCCGGGCGAGGCTCCTTCCAGCCCTTTCTAGAGGGAGGGAGGGAGGGGTGGGGTGGGATAAGGGGGAAGGGGCTGCACAAGGACCCCCCTCCCCTCACTGCCCACTCCGTAGGGATTCGGCACAGGGAAAGGTGTGGGAAAAGAGTTCATTTGGGTGCTGCTTTTTTTTTTTTGGATGGTGCTGGCAGGATGGATTTGGGGGGGAGCAGTTGGGAAGGGGAACAATCCTCACCCTGCCCTCCCCTGCCACGCTGCTTGCATGGGGAAACCGAGGGTGACAAAATCCCTTGGATTTGTAATCCCTCCAAATCCCCGTGCAGAGAAGAGCTGTGCCCAAGGCTGTGGATAAAACTCTGGCAGAGCTCGAGCCTGCAGTTAGACCCAGCCTAGATTCAAACCTCCACGACCCCACGCTCCCCTACACCATCAACTCCTTTTTGGGGATTATCCTATGGGATGGGGGCCAACACGGCAACACCTGAGATTTCTGCCAACTTTGGGGCAACTCCCGAGCCTCTGGTAGAGCTTTTCTCTTCCTCTTCTTTCCCCTCACGCCCTCCACAGCCTGAAAATGCTGGACACCATCAGCAGCCAGTACGACTCCTTCATCTACTGGAGGATGCCGATCCCACGGCTGGACATGGCCGAGCTGGAGGGGCTGGGGCTCGCAGACATGGCCCTCTACAAGCCCAAGGCAGGGCTGGGCAAGCTCGGGGACCGGGACAGCCAGGACCTCTCCCAGGATGAGGACAGCCTGCTGCAGTTCAACAGCTTTAACTTCTGGCGAGCTCCCATTGCCAGCATCAGCTCCTTCGATTTCGATTTAATTTGAAGCCCTTCCTGCCCCTCCTCACCTCCCCCTGCTCTCTCTCTTCCCGCCAGGCATGCCAGGATTTGGTTTTGTTGTCAGTTTTGGAGGCTGTTGGGTTGGGGTTTTTTTTTTTTTTTATTTTTATTTTTGGTTTCTGGTCAGTTTTGCCATCGCTAATTCGCTCAGCAGTTCACCACGGCCTTGACGGTGACGGGCTCCCCAAAAATCTCCAAACCCTTCCCCACCCTCTCCCCTTTTTCCTCCTGGAATCACAACGGTGCAAGTGAGGGGGCAACAGCACCAGGGGCAAACAGGAGGGGAGGGGGCAGAAATAACCCCCCCCCCATTGCCCCTCTCCCTTTCCAGAGGGTTTGGGAGGTGCCACCCCTCCGTGCCAGCGTGACCATGGCTGTCCCCACCCTGGGTGACAATTCCTCAGCTCATTTCTCGTGTGCTTTTTTTTTTAAGAAACTCATTTGTGCAAACGGGGCGCTGGAGGAGCAATGGGAATCGCTCTCGTTTTGGAGAAAGCATCGATCCTCTGCGTTCCCCTGGCCCAGTTTCTCAAAAATCCTCTTTGTCCCTTCACCTTCCCCTCGGGAATGCAAGGTGGAAGAGGCAGGGATGTGCCCAAGAGATCAGCACAAATTTTCCTTGAGAAAAATAATCACTTTGAGCCTTGTGGTATGAGCCCAAGCAGGAAAAAAAACGATATCCAGGAGGGTAAATAGACATGGAAATGTTCTCACCTTGCTTGGTGGGGTCAAGGTTGGGTGTTTACTGCCCCAAATTTGATTTTTTCATCCTTCTTTTATGCCTCACGAGGTTTATTCTCGGTCTGGAACAGATGCTGGGTACATCGTGGGGGTCTGGAAGGGTGATGGGGCAGAGCTGAAAGATGGAGAATTTAGTTTGATCTAACCCCCAAATGAAAATACTTCAGGTTTTCCACCCACTTAATCGATCCTTTTAAAAACAACAACAAACAATGCTGCATTCATTCAAGTGGAAGCCTTGAGTTTTTTCTCCGGGGAGATTTTCACCTGCTGAGGTTTATTTCTGAGCATCATCTCAAAATGGAGGGGGGGGAAAAAACCCAACCTGGAATAATTTTTGGCTTTTAAACAGGTTTTTGCGCTCCCTAAGATTGTTTTCTGGGATTGGTTTGCCTTCTTGAATGTGCTTTTTTTTGGGTTTGATTGGGATGAAGTGATGTGGAGCATCCCAAAATCATCCTGAGAGTTGGGGGTATGTGGCTGGGGGCAGGCTGAGGCAGCACTTAAAAGGTGCCAGAAATAGGCAAAAATCAGAAAAATCTGCATTCTGCTGTGAAAATCGGATGCAGCTCTCCTGTAAGCTCCAGAAATAATCAAGTGTGCTGATTTTGAACCATCTGTGTAAAACAAGAGGTGAAAAATGTAAACTCTCCTCTGCAGAGCTGTTTGTGTCCTTGGCTATGAAAACCTGCAGAAGTATTTATTATGAAACTTTAAATAAAATCAGTTAAAAACATACACATTCCTGTGGACATGTAGGCTGACATCGAGTTCTTTGGCATTAAAAATGTCTCAAATCTCTTTTTGGTGAGCTAAGAACTCACCCCTATGTCTTTGCACATACTGTGGAAGACTAAAGCATGGAAAAACTAAGCCTAAAGGATTATTATAAGCACATTAAAGATATTATTTACACTTCAGCTTTTCCAAGCCCCACAGGGAATAAAGAGGTCCCAGAGCTCCAATTTTACCTCAAAAAAGAGCATTTTGGGCAAGCGAGAGGCACCCAAGGGGATAACACACCTTGGAGAGGGGGGTTCGGCAGCCTGAGGGGAGCTAAATCATGGACTGGAAGGCACTCAGAGAGGATATGTATGTTCAAACTACTGAGATACACACATATAAACAGAGATATACTTCCTAACCCCCAAAGTTCCAAGAGACATCAAAAGCACACCACCTCACTGAGGGGACGCCGCCATTTTGTACTTGGCGCAAAAACGCCTCTGCCGGATCTACTTCCAGGGAGCCGTCACGGCGACTCGGCTCTACCGATTAATATCCTTCCGCCGGGGGAAAGCACTCCCTGCCAGGCTCGGAAAGGCCCCAGGGCGGGGAGAACGGCGGAGAAAAGAAGGAGAAATTCCCAAATTCCCTACAGTTCCCGCTGCGGCAGAGCGGGAGCGGGACCAGCCCCATCTTGCCCCGCCGCCTCGGCGGACTCTTTTGTTGCAGGTCCAATATCCTTCCGCCGCCTGGCGGGCTCGCTGCCGGGGCCGCCATTTTGTGAGGCAGAGGCGGGAGGGGCCGAGTGCCGTGAGGGGCCGGGCCCATGAGGGGCTTGGGGGAGCACCGTGAGGGGAAGGGCTGTAGATCTTGGGGGTCTGAGGAGGGAGAGCCCCTGTGAGGCGCTCAGGGGACTCCCAGTGAGGGAGTGCGCTAGGCGACCCTCTGAAAGGGGCAATCATGGGGGTCTGAGGATGAGGAGCAGCCGTGAGGGGTTCAGAGGACTCCCAATGAGGGAGGGGGCTGGAGGAGCCTCTGAGAGGGGCGATCTTGGGGGTCTGAGGAGGGGGGACCCTCGTGTGGTGTACGCTCACCTAGAGAACAAATCCCGTTACACACATTCCACCTCGCCCTTCATTCTTACACTGGGGCAAGGTCTCAATCTCTTCAGCAAACGCCAAAACCACCTCAGGTAAGGTCCGAAGGGACCTCGAGTGTGAAAACTTTGGGATAACAAACCCTAGGATTGCTCTCCAGTAGAGGGCAGATGGGTATTTAGGAAAGGAAAAGTGCTGAAATGTGGCCAAACACGCCCAAGTGCTGCTTCCTGCCCCGGAATGTTTTCAGCAGGCGAGGTGAGGGGAGGAGGATCCCAGCACTGGTGTAAATAAATAAAGGTGCTTCCAGTGTCAGTGGCTGCTGGCCGTGGGCCTGCTCCAGGCCTGGAGAAAATGGATTTGGCTGATTGCAATAGAGGAATAATGAGAATTCCTACCTGTGCCAAATCCTGAGAATGGAACCGTTTGCTTTGCTCTTTTACTGCCAGTGCTGTTTTGCTTCGTGTCAACATTGAGTAAGCAAATTCCTGGATGAACAGGTCTAAGGGATGTGTAGATTACTCCTTATTTATTCTATCCCATGTTAGATAGAAATAAATAGATTTCCCGTTGTTTCTTGAGCCTTATTCTGTCAGGGAAAACTCAACTTGATTCGGTTCTAGGAGCAATTTCTTTTTGAGTAATCCCAATTTTTCTAATAACTCATCAAGTGAGTTTTGTGTATTTGGGAAAACCCAAACTGTTGTTTCTCTGCAGTCTTGAGGCTACTGAGAAGTTTTGGGAAGCTTTTTGGCCTCACCCTGCAAGCACTTGTGCATGGGAGTAGTTCTTTGGTGAAGTGGGGCTGTTCACGTTGTGTGAATGTTTGCTTAGCAATCAGAGAGAACTTTTGGAATCCCAGATCCTGACATTCCCACCCAGACCTCTCTGCCTGTGCCACAGCAGCACCCCCAGCCCTGCTCTCAAAGCTTTCACAGCCTAGAAGCTCTGAAAATCCCTAATTTAAAGGAGGGGAAAAAAAAAAAAAAAAGGTCCAAAGTGTTCCTGGCACAGACCTTCAGTTGAGGATATTCCCACGAGATGGCATCAGCAACCACTTTAATTTTGACAAAAAAATCATCTAATTTAACACTTCCAGAGAAAGATTTTTCTCGTCTCTCTTCTGTTTTTAAATGGGAATGAGAATCTTTAGCTAGGCTGGGGGAATCTGGTTGCAGGGTGCTGAAAACTCCAAGCTTGGGCTGTTTTCACCTGCCAACCCAAGTATTCCATGAAACAAACCTGATAAAACTTGCTGAATCCAGTAAAAGAAAGAGAGAAAAAAAACAGGTTGGAAGGGTTAAATGAGAAGAACTTTAGGTGAACTTCCCTCTGTGTGCCTATAATCTGTTGATCTACGCCAGTGCTGAGGAACAGGATCTCTTTTTTTCCCTTTTAAAGAGGAATTGTGGGGTCTCTGCACTGAGCTTGCGCCCATTTAGGTAATTTCCTGTCCCATTCTTACAGAGTCTGCATTGAATAGCAGCTCCTACGGTCAATTGCAGGAAGAAACATTGTTTTTTTGGGGCTGAGAAGCCTTGTTTATCTCATTTCAGTCAATATCCCACTGCAGTGAGCATGCTTTTTGGGTGATTTATCGATTTAATCCCAGTTCAAACTTAATTAAACAAACAGTGATGAATACCAATAGAAATAACTTAATTCTTATTAAATTTTAAATGAACCACCGTGTCTGATGTTGCCATATGCAGCCCTTGATGTGCTTTAACAGTTATTTTAAAAATAAATAATAAAAATGGAAACCCACTGCTGCAGAAATGGATTGCCTGTAACGTTCAAACCTGGATAAATAGTTCAGAGTGAAATTGTCTCAAATGTTTCCTGTCCCCATGTTGAGGCTCTGATAACTCCTTCTTACAGAAAGGTTTGCGTTGTTTTTTTTTTTTAAATCATCCTTTGTGCTGTTTGACCTTTAATTAACTTTGGATTTAAGAATTTGATAAAGTGGAAGTTTATCTAATCCCCTCACTTCTCAATTCCGTTCTCTTCCCCAAAGCTAAGCATTTTTTTTTTTTTCCCTAGAGTCTAGAGACAAGTAATTTAAATTCTTGAAGCTGCTGGTGCCACAGCACTGATTCCTTGACCCGTGGTGCTCGAGTGTTTTCCTCTCTGGCACCCAGCACAGGTCAGGTCCCAGTTTCCTGCACTGGGAGCAGGATGCAGCCAAGGGAAGGGGCAGGGAAGGAAGCTTTGCAGAGCCAGGGCTGCTGAACTGCTGCCTCCACTTCCAGGGCTTTCCATTTGCGTGCTGGTCCTTAGTAATGTGCACAAAATAAAATTATTAAGGCTGGAAAAGACCTCCAAGATCATCAATCCAGCCTTCAAGTGGACTTGGTGAACTTGGAGGTTTGTTTGAACCTTCCAGCTACGCTGGGTTTACCCTGAAAACTTTGTTTTGCTGAGCTGTAGTGGTGTTATTTTCCATCTCCTGCTAAAACCTACTGTATTCCCACATTGTTTTCCCTAATCCCAGGAGTCTCAAGCCACACACTCGAGCCTTTCCCCTCCAGTTTCTATTCAAGGAAGAGAGAAGGAAACCCTGGCTCTTTTCTCTGGTGTTTGCTTTCATTCCCGAGGTAAGAGGGAGGAAGTGGTGGAAGCAGAGGCTGTGGATTGTGCCACCCCCAGTGCCATTGTCCCCAGGGCCATTGTCCCCCACCTCCAGGCTGGGCAGGGAGGTGAGGAGCAAGCAGCAGGGTTCAATCCCAAAAGGAAAAGGTTCCAGCTTTTCCTGTGGAGCTCCCACCCTCTGAGTGTCCGTGGGGCTCCTGCCGGTGCCACTTCAACCACGCTGGAATATTTTGGGTTTTTCCTGGAAACCCAAGGCCCTCAGGACAAGAAATGCCAAGTTGGCCGTTGTGTCTTTGGCAGACACTGTTCCTTTATCCTGTGGGGAACGTCCCAGTCTGGGAGTAAATAATCCAGCTGGTGATTTACAAACTCCAACCTGTTCTTCCATCATTTATCTCAAACTCGTTGCCGTGCTGTTAATATCATCCTCAGCCCACCTTGTCCTGCCATTAAACCACCCGGGGCACTGTAATCTCGTTATTTTATGAGACAGATACAAATGGTGCTCAGTAAAGCAGGGCACAGCTCCAGAGCTCTGTTTTGTTTCCTCAAGGGATGTCATTCCCCAGCCTTGCCTACTACCGCCAATTCTTGCAGCGTGTCCCAGGGATACTCGATTATTTGGATTAACTTCGGGGCAGGAAAAGAGGATTAGGAAGCAGAGCCGCTCTTTAATGCGTGCACAGAGACGGGTTACATCAGTTCTGTCTGTTTACAGACTTGCCCTGCTGAAAAACAATTTTCTAAAGCTGTTAATTATTCTGAATTATTTGCCAAATTACTACAAATCATTCCTGGCTTGGGACCCACCAGGAAGACAAAGGGGGAACTGTTTAGGTGGCGCTACCTTCAGTCACTCACATGAGCTTTCTCCTCTCTGCTTGGCCAAATTCTGCCTTCCCAAAGCAAAAACTCATGTTTACAGATTTAAAATATTTATTCTCTGGAAATTTGCAGCTCTTGAATGTGTTTGGGATCTTGGAGACAGGAATTATCCAGGAGAGCTTTCTATTCCTCTCCTTCACCCTGTCTGGGCTGGAAGTTCCATTCCTGAGGTATCAAAATTACACTTTATTTTTTTTTTTCAAGGTGAAAATTTTTGACTTTGGATTCTCTCAGCCCCATTGGGGTGAAACACTCGGGTATTTCAGACTTGGAATTGTCTCCTCCTAAGAGGAGAACAAAGAGTGGATGACTCCAAGGAGCACAGGGTGGATTCTCCTGGCCTGAACCTGACCATGCTCCAGGCTCTGCCAAAGCCCCTCGGAGCAGAGCTGAGCCCGGGGGTCTCTCTGGGACACACCTGGAGCTCAGGGGTTTCACTGGGATGATTTGGGATTCCCAGTCCAGGTCTCAGCAACAAAGCAGGAATGGCTCCTCATCCCTCTTTCAGGAGGAAAAATGTTCTTCTCATTTCTCTCCCAACCTTTCATCACTGGCAACTCTTTTATTTTCTTTGCACCTGGTTTCACCTCCTTCCAACCTTTGAAATCCATGCAGGTGGGATCTCACCTACCTTCCCACATTTCCCTACGTGCTGTGGGATCACCTCCTAATCCTGGAATTTGCAAAGGAAAATTGCTCCTTTTTCCTCTCTTTTTGGTGAAATCCAGGGCTGAGAGCTGCCCCCTCCAGCCTCCACTTCCTGCCGTGCCAAAAAGTGCTTTGAAGCCTTGACCTGCAGAGATCCAAAGCTTCTCCACAAAATTCCCCCTCAGACATCCCAGGCTTATTCTGGGATGTCAATACCTGCATTGTTGGGAATGGGAAGAAATCCCACTGTGCCAAAGCAGCTGGATTAGTGCTGAGCTGCCTGGGAATTCCAGCCTGAACACAGGCCTTGTGCAAGCACCTGCAAATCCCAGCGACCAGACCTGGAATGGCAACAAAAATATTCTCTTGGCGTGTTGCTTTAAACATTTGCAGAGGTGTGGAAGGGATTTTTTCCCTTTTATCCATGATTTTCTTCTTCCAAAGTTGTTTGATTTTTGGATTGAGGCAACGTTGAATGTTTGTCACATGGAGCATTTCAAGCTCTCAGGGAAAACCATCCTTCACCTGTTTGTTTCAGGAAGAATTTGAGGGGGTTTTTCATCAGAACACCCAAAATAAAGAATTTCTTGGTTTTACAATATTTATGCAAATATTCTACTTCCCACACTGGCTAGTGATGTAAACTGGTGGCACATGGAAATCCAGACATGACAGCCTGGGAGTCTGGTTGTCTTTGGAGATACAAATGTCACTTTTTTAAAACTAAAATTTCTATTTTTAAAGAACTAAAACCTTTTTTAACACGCAGCTGATCTGTATTGTGCCTTCCCCGCTGCCACCCTCAGTTATTGCCATCCTTCTCCCCAAAACAGGTGATTTTGAAAAAAAATCCCTTCAGCTGGGATAAAAACTTCCCCCTTGGAAGAGGAAATGAAAAATAAAAAGTCCATGGGGTTCATGGGAACTGGTTTGGGTTTTTTTCTGGAGGAAATAAAGCTGAGGATGTTGTCACCTTTGGGAGGGGAATCCCCTGATTTAATTTCTGGAAGTATCCGTGCATCAAAGCCGACCAAAACCGAGAAGGATTCGCTCTTTGCCTGGAATTCAAACCCAGCTCTTCCACAGAATAACACCGGGAGCTTTTTAGGCCAAAAGCAGCATTTTTCTGGTCAGTAAATTCCCTCCCACGGGAGCCCCGGCCGGGCTGTGCCGTGTCAGGGATTCCGTGCCCGCGCCTCCTCCTTCCCGGGCCTGTGTGGGCCAGAGAGCCCTGCCTGTCCCATGGGCACATTTTGGGGTTTGTTCACACACTTTGGGGTTCATTAGCAC